CGCACCCTATAGTGAAAAAACCTCTCAAAAAAAAAAAAAAAAGCAAGCACTTGGGTACATTTTTTATGAAACTGATGAATAAACATGCGGATCCTTTGGCTGGATCCTGAAGAATAGACAGGCTTTTTTTTTTTTGGAGAGGCTTTCACTATAGAGCGTGTGCGTTCACCAGACAGACAGAGAGAGACAGAGAGACAGAAAGCGAGAAATCACCCCCCAGGGGGGATGGTCACGCCGCAATCCCTTCTCCTCCATTTTCCTCTCGGGATCTTGGGCACGCACGCACACGCGCCCGGTGTGAGTTTTAAGCCACCGGGTCCAGGACGCGAACCGCAGTCGACTACGTGGGATCCCGTCCAGTGACATAGCCATTACGCTAACTGCTGGTTCCCAAGAATAGACAGGCTTTTAATAGGAGAGGATGGAAGAGACCTTTCCATGTGGCGGGGACAGCAATAAATGAAGACCCTGAGATCGGAGACCATGGTTTCTCTCTGGCCTGCTCTGGCATCAGGGTTTCTCACTTTTCGATTCTCATGTCTGTAGACAAACGAGATTCCAAGCACCTAAATCTACACTTTCATGCCTCCTCCTCCTCTGCTTCTCCTGATATGGCTCCTTGAGGAAAGAAATCCGGCCTCCTTCTTCTATAATAGTCTCCTTCTCTGGCTCCCAGCACAGGTCTGCCCATGCAAAAATGCCACTGTGCTAGGGTGGAAAGCAACCCAGACGGGGGTCTAAATCACCTGCTTTCAAATCCTGGCTCTTCTGCTTACTAAGAGATTCTGGGTACATAAATTTAACCTCTCCAAATCTCAGCTGATGCTTGGGTAAATTAGGGATTAACAATACCTTTTTAGAAAGAATGCTATGAAGATAAAAATGTATCAGTCCATTAATCCATTCGATATTTCACTGCCATCTGGTACAAAGCAAGAACTATGCTAAACATAAGAATGTCTGAGAATAACATACATGGATCCCCTCGACTTCTGAGGACTTGTGATTTAGGGAAAGGGAAAAACGCTTTAAGGAACATGCCCGCAAACCCTTCTGGCCACCCTCACATGAGACATTCTGACTGCTCTTTCATTTTGGAGCCATTTTTCCTTATGGTGACTGCGACCTACAGAAAAGATGACTGCATGGTCTGTTTCTCAGCTCTCACCCTGAGAGGCCATCTAACCCCCCTGAACTTACTCCACACCACATCCCAACTTCTGCTCGAACACTTCTCTAAGTGCTCTTTGCCAGAGTCAGATTTTCCTTTTTAAAAAAAAAAAAAATCACAGAGTTTAAGTTCTAGATGCTTTTCTGGTTTGGAGCTTTCCACATAATAAAAAGACCAAACAAAAACACTAGCAGGGTAGCATCTGATGGAGTCGGCGCTCAGTGATGCGAGTCAAGGAAAGGACACGCGGCCTCCACTGTGCAAAGTGAGACAGAAGGGACCACGGCCATTCTGAGATGCAGGAACCTCAGAGGAAGTTCAGTAGAAATTACTGCCAACACCTGGCATGAAAATGTATTCCTGATGGGACCAGCAGTTAGCGTAATGGCTATGTCACTGGACTCCCATGTAGTCGACTGCAGTTCAAGTCCCAGACCTGGTGGTGTAAACTCACACCAGGTGCATGTGTGTGTGTGCCCAAGATCCCAAGAGGAGAATGGAGGAGAAGGGATTGAGGCGTGGCCATCCCCCCTGGGGAGTGATTTCTCGCTTTCTGTCTCTCTGTCTCTCTCTGTCTTTCTGGAAAGTGCACGCACCCTATAGCAAAAACCTCTCTTAAAAAAAAAAAAAAAAGTACTCCCAATGTCGGCATATTAATAGCAGTAATGTATTTATAAATTCTCCTGGGTCTTCCAGTATCATCAATGATGCTCTAAGAGGCTCACTGCTGGATGTTTCACAGAGAAGAAAATATGTGTAGCAGAATGATTTGTTGTTTCTCAAGAGAGTGGAATAATTAATGTTGGTCCTGAACTACAAGACATCAATTCTTTATATCCTCCTGTCCTGCCTGTGAAGACCAGGCTAAGTGAACCAGGGCTGGCCCCAATTACTTGAAAAGCTTTGGGGCCAGCCACAAACCAATGAAGATAAACACACCATTTCTTCCTTAATTATACAAAAACTACCTTCAGTCAAGGTGGTTTGTCGATGTCAAAAGTCTAAGGACCCTGACCAGAATCTTAAACTTCAGTGCCAAAGGCCTCGCTCCCGCCTGCCCCATCACTCTAGCAAGTCCAAAGGTGTCCAGGGTCCCCGAAGACTCACAGACTTTGTGTGCTCGGGGCGCGGAGCAATCACGGGCGGTGGGGCAGCGTCGTCGTCATCATCTTCATCTTCTGAAACTGGCGGCACCGCGGGGGTCTCAGACACAGCCTTCACGTTCTGCAGGGAGAACAGCCAGAACCACTGGTCCAGCCATCAGGACTGCCAGTCCTCCAGAAGAGACCAGCGGAGACCCACAGGAGCTGCCAAACTATCTACTTCTATGTAGCCAGTCTCGGAAACTCAATTGGCCTCTCTCTCCTTGTTTTGGTTTTTGGTAAGTTGTCAGAGGATACTTGCACTAGCCAGAGTGAGAGAGAGAGGTGGGGGAGGGAGCAAGCACGCCCCCACACAAGGAGGCATGGTCATGTCTCAATCCCTTCTCCGTTTCTCCATCCTGTTGGGATTTGGGACACCCATGCACACAACACATTTCCGGCGTGTTTATTCAAGCCACTGGGGCCAGGATTCAAACCTCAGTCTGCCATGTGGGATCTGGTTCCTTTATGCTGTCATTCTCACTCCTGGCTTTCCTTCCCTAGCAGTACACTCTAGGCGTGCTACCAGACGACCACGAGAAACAGAGAGAGTGGAAACTACTTTGTCATACTAACTTGGTAAGTTCTTTCTTCCTGCAACTTCCCAAATGTTCTCCTGGTAACAGGCCTCAAACATCTTCTGCTGGAATATAATTCATATATTTTTCCACTAATGTCAGTTTTTGGTCTGTCTGTCCTCATTTTCTTTCCCCTCTTCGTTAGGAGTGCGGAGATAATATTGCTGACTATTTTATAATTCTGTCCAGTTATTCAGATTTTATTTAGAATGATCCACTTTATCAGGCATATGGAATAATAGTTAAAAGTTGATATTCTGGAATTAACCAGCTTGGATTCAAAGCAAATTTCTAACACATACAAACAATGAGTTCTGGGCAAGCTATTAAATTCTCTAGTTTCCTCATCTGTAAAATGAAGCCAGCAAGACTACTTACTTCAGTGTTATTATGAGGTTAAATATGATAATCCATGTAAAATTTATTTTTAAAACATTCAAATATCAGCTATGACAATAGTGATAATGACTGGCTAGATGATTAGAGGGGTTCAATACATGGACCAGCAGATGGCGTAATGGCTATGTTACTGGACTCCCACATAGTCGACCATGGTTCGAGTCCCAGACCCTGCAGCTTAAAACTCATGCCGAGTGCATGTGCATGCATGCCCAACATCCCAAAATGAGAAAAGAGAAGAAAGGATTGTGTGGCCATTCCCCCGCCTGCCCCCAGGGTGATTTCTCACTTTCTGTCTGTCTGTGTCTCTCTGGTGAGTATATGCGCCCTTGTAGCAAAAAATCTCTCTTAAGAAAAAAAAAAAGAAGGGCTCAATACAGGGGTTAGCAGGTGGCATGGTGGTTGGGGCGCTGGACTCCCACATGGCTGACTGTGGTTTGAGTCCCGGATCTAGTAGCTTGCTTTCTCACTTTCCCTTTCTCTCTCTCTTTCTCTGGTAAAAATAAAAAAATAAATAATAACAACAAATAAAGTAGATAAATAATTCTTAAAAATAAATAAATAAAAGAAGGGCTCAATACAAAATAGTTAAATAAGTATGCCTTGTCCAAAAACAGGACAAAGTGTAATAAAACAGCTAAATGGCAGAACACTCAACAACTGAGGAAGTGACAATGATGGAGGAAGCTCTGTCTATGCAGCCCTCTGTTCGCCAGTGACCCACCATCTGGGCTCTTGCCAGAGAGAGACAGAGAAAAAAAGAGGGAGAGGAAGAAAGCACCCGAGTGGGGCATAAGCACACTACAATTTTCCCTGCTTCTCCATCCTGTCAGGATTTTGGCCATTCTGTCTCCCACGAATTCCTCATAATAACTGCTTTATGTAATGTTTTTTGTTTTGAAGTGCTGTTTTTCTTTTTTTTAATATCTTTTCTGAAAGTATGAAATTAGGGATAGCAAGAGATGGGCGCATGAATTCAGTCCACTCCCCAGATTCAATTTCCAGAGGAATCTTTCTGTTAGTTTAAAATAAAATGTACAATCAATTTTCTATTTAAAATAGAAAATTCCTAGGCCATCAGGTGGCGTGGAGGTTAAGGCACAGGATCCTACATGACCAAGTCCATGGTTTGAGCCCCTGAGCCGGTAGCTTGAAAATCATGCCAGACTCGTATGCATGTATGCCCAAAATCCAGAAAGGAGACTGGAGGAGAAGGGACTAAGGCATGGCTATTCCCCTCACCTTCCCCTTCTCTTTTCCTCTTCTCTCTGTCTCTGTCTCTGTCTCTCTCTGGCAAGAACATATGCCCTATAGCAAAAACTAAAAACAAACAAAACTTCCTCGGCTACAGTACAAAGTCCAAGTTGCCTGCTTGATATAATGGACCCTCACAACCTGGCTTTTGTTTATGCTGTCCCTAGGACAAGAAAATACTGTCCTTTCCTCTGCCTGGTATCTGACCTGTGTTTACTTGGTACTGTATTATAAACCCTTGTCTAATATGCTCTGAGTCATCACTAAATATTGAGATCAAGAACAAAGACCTGGGGCCAGTAGGTGACATGATAGGGCGCTGGACTCCCACATGGCTGACCGTGGTTTGAGTCCTGGACCTGGTGGCTTGCTTTCTCACTTCCTCTCCGCAACCGCCCCCCCCCC